ATATGTTTGATGGATTTCTCTGCCATACATTGTCAATGGCAATCAAACTTCATTGTCAGTGTCACCCAACACACAGTAGAGTAGCTGCAAAATGCATTGAGAAGTGAAGCAAAAAGAAAGAGCGCACCAACCTTGCACATTACGTCAGTAAATCTGTGATTTTATTAAATAAATTATATATACTCACAAACAAGAAAGTATAACAAGCATTACAGGTCCTCAAACGAACTAGGGAGTGTAGAGCCAGTGTGAGTCATGTCACAAGGGTAGACTCTGAAAGTGAGGCTGATGCTTTTCAAAGAGGGACCCTTCTTCATCAGAGCTCTTGTTTGTGAGTATATATAATTTATTTAATAAAATCACAGATTTACTGAGGTAATGTGCAAGGTTGGTGCGCTCTTTCTTTTTGCTTCACTTCACAATATCAATCAGGCTTCCCCAGCCTTGTTCTAGAGCTGCACAACCTTCCATGCACTGGTGGAATTGTTTCAAGTTTCCTTCGATCCTTCCACCCCTGGTTTGTATCTGCTGCAAAATGCATGGCAGCGCATCACAGCATTCAGAACTAGAAGCAAAGTTTACATTTATCAACTGATTATCAGTCACTTAAAGTGTCTCTAAAGGCCTTTTTTTTAGTTTTGGATAGAGTAGAGAGGGACATCAGAACACTAGTAGTGGAGAAATCCTCCTATGTGAACACTAATTCTGGTGACCCGGTGGGATTCCCTCACTTTGGAGAGATTTCCTCTCACTTCTTGTTTTTACTATGGGACAGGAAGTGAAGGGAAATATCCTCAATGGGACACAAGGGAATACAAAAAAAAACATGCCCATGAACTCAATAAACATAAACATTCAGTGGTTGATTTAACCCATCAACACCTACCCCAAAACATAACTATTAATTTTTAGTTTTTTAATATTTTAATAATATTAATAGTGGACACTTGGGAGTACTGTATATATTACCGCTCACAAATTTCACAGTTTCCCCCGAAAATGCCTTCATCTGGTTTTCTGTCCAGAAGAATGTCACCATATCTGTTCAGGAATCATCCAGGTTCAAAGGTCTCTACTTCTTGGATCAAGAACCTGGCTCGGAGGTGGCACACTCATTTAGATCCTGGTGAAGTGAAGTCAAATTACATTTTTTTTGCTTTACAGGGACAGTCCACATTGTACTGATATGAATGATATGTTGGTTAGAGATAGATACTGGATTTTCCTGTGGAAATACTGTATAGTTCCAATGGAGCTTCACACTGTGACCGCTTTCCTGCCACAGAGCCTTACTCTTCATGCAGCAGCAAGATAATTCTCAGTCCTAACTGTGGTGTTCTTGCTGCAATCTCTGTAATGTGACATACAACAAGGAAAATGAGACATACCAAGTAGGAGGACTATGGATCAGTACCATGGTCTCTGAGAGCTACAACAGTTTAGTGTGGGCATTCACTAGCAATTGCCAATGTATGGTTAAGGTGTAATGCTGAGATATACTTTTAGCATTAAGATTAGCTCTTGTAAAACGTACAGTAAAAGGTATACTAAAGTAGTAGAAATTGATCAGCACTCCAGGGGGATACTTTAACAGTACTTTATTAGAACAGTTTATAAGCAGCAATTGCTATTTTAATCTAGAAAATCCTATCTCTAGTTCAATACATTTTTATTAAATTCACAATACAAAATTACAATCGTAAACTAGTACTGTATATATGTATATATATATATATATATAAAATTCATGACATAATGGAATTCAGAAGCCCATAGTTTTAGAGGGAAAGTTAAAAAAGGTACAGGCCGTCAAATAGATCATACATGTGTATTGCAAGAAATTCTAACTGGGTAGCCTCTCAATGAAGAAGTTAGGATATGGTAAATCTATTAGATAAGTTTTCAATGTAATGTATCATAAAAAAGAAAGGAAAAAGTAGTGGAGGTTCACACACAGAAAAAAAATTGTCAAAATGCATGTTTACTGAACTAAAAAGATTGCCCAGGAGGGAAGGGTGTGAACAAAATAAGGTCCCAAGGTCTTTTTTTGGATCCAATGCTGGGGAGGGGGGGCTGAAGGGGAAACAGAAGTGGCGGTAAGGAAACATAGGGAAAGGTAGATGGAAATGGAGCCCTAGGGTTGCTACATCAAAGTGGGAGGAGGTTTAGTTTCCTTTTCCCTAACACCTGTTCCCCCATCATTCCATAACTGTGAGGTAACAATCAGAGATATAACACCCTATGATTAGTTTGTAAGTAATCTCTCCATGGGATCCAAAGTTTCAGGAACAGATAGGGTTTATCCTCCACCGAGGCTGTCAATTTTTCTTTAAACATCGAGCCATCTAAACGAGTCTTGGCTTCCTGAAAGTTCAATGAGGGAGACTTCCAAGAGTGTGTGCTTGCTTGTTTGATAGCACTGAAGATGAAGCCAATTAGTTTAACTGTTTTTCAACAAGACCTCAACTGGATCTTTTTATAGATTGCAATGAAGGACCCCATTTATCAGTGTGTAAGCTCTAATCCACAGCCTCTGTACTCTTGGACATGTCTACATATGTGTACCATCGTTCCCTTCTGTCTACAGTCCCTAAAACAAAGAGGAGGTGCCCGGAAACACATTTGGATATGCAGGAGGGGTTTAAGTACTACTGCATTAAGCCTTAATTAATATTTGTTATATATTAGCTCTAGGAACATATTAGCCCTGGAAAACTCCTATAAAGGATTAATGCAGCGGTACTTAACCTCCTCCTGCATATCCAAATGTGTTCACGGGCACCTCCTCTTTGTTTTAGGGACTGTAAACAGAAGGGAACGATGTTTAGGAGGGACGGCCGGGTGGCACACAGAGGAAACAGACCGTGCATTTCTCAGTTCCTGTATGTGCCGCATGGCCAGCCTCCCTATCCATTGTTCCCTTCTGTCTACAGTCCCTAAAACAAAGAGGGGTTTTCCAGGGCTAATATGTTCCTAGAGCTAATATATAGCAAATATTCATCCAGTCCTTCTCCAAAATGACAGTGCCCAGTTCTTCCTCCCAACTTAATATATATTTTGATTTTTGGCTGATTTTGGAAGAGTTTAGAGAGGCATGTAAAATAGAAATAAGGCCAGGAGAATGAGAGTGACTGACTACTGTTCAAACCACATAAGATTTTTTGGAGTATTCTGGTGTGACAGAAGCAGGCCTGGACTGGCCATAGGGCACTCCAGGCATTTTCCGGCCGGGTGGCACATAGAGGAACCGAGAAATGCACGATCCGGTTCCTCTATGTACCGCCTGGCTGCCCCTCCTATCCATTGTCCTGCATGCCATGGGCTCCTGTATGCTCCCCCCATGGCTGCCCCCTCATCTCCTGCAGCGCTGCCGCCAAGTTCCCCCCTCCCTGCAGCTGCTGCGGAGCATCTGTCAGCATATTCTGTCCCCAGTGCTGACAGTCCCCGTCCCCCCCCCCACCACCACCACCACAGATGGGAGAAGAGAGAGTAAGCTGGCTCTGCCCCTCCTCCTTCTGCCCTCTCCTCTTGTGTCTATCCTGCCCACACTCCCCGCCAGTCTTGTGTCTTCTCCCCCCCTTCTTTTTCTTTCTTTCTTTCTTTCTTTCTTTTTCTTTCTTTCCTTCCTTTCCTTCTTCTTTCTTTCTCTTTTTCTTTTGTTTCTTTCGCTCTCTCTCTCTCTCTCTCTCTCTCTCCTTCTTTCTCTCTCTACAAAAAAAGTAAAAAAAAAAAAAATTGTAAAGAATTAAACAAAAATAAAAACCTACTGACACTAGTGGCAGAACAACCAGGGTCACAAAGGTCGCTCTTGGGACCGGTTCCTGAGGAAAGGGTCCCCGGACTTAGGGCTTCTCAGTACCAAATGCCTGGTCCAATTATTTGTCCCAATCTGGGCCTGGACAGAAGCATATTTACATAGTGCCTAAGTTGTGTGTAACGAAAAAAATTCCTGTGAAGGCGCATTGTACTTCTCTTTAATGTAATCATATGGTTTAATATCGTTGGAAGTTAGGAGATCTTTTCTCAAGCAGTTACTGTAAATCCAACCAAATCCTTATATTCAAACAAGTTACATAAAAAAATTACTTAGGGATCACAAAATACATTGTATCAAAAAGTGATACCATGTTCACAGCTACACAATATCATTAAAAAAACACAATTATGGATCTGAACCTAATTTTTTAACCCTCTGAGTCATTTAGAATTTTGGAAGGCAATACTTTACACTTACAAAACTTTACACTTACTTTACATTAATATAATTTGTCATCTGTTTGATATTATTCACAATATTTATTCTGTGTTTATCTAGCCTTACTGTAATTGGTTTCAATTACACTGTCTGTGGTGTATTTACGTTTTGTGCTGCCCCTAGGCAACACAAAAATCGGACCCCCCCCCAGCAGCAGAGAGAGCCTAACATTGATCAACAACATCCCTGCCCCCACCCGAGAGAGCCTTCCACTAACACACACATCCCCCCTCCCCAGAGAAAAAGTCACTCACCTTCACATCTCTGGACTTCCCTGGGAACGAGAGTCAGGCTCTGTATACACCCCATCAAGTAGTCCGCAGCTTCTTTTGGCTCCCACCTAGTACCCATGCTGCGAATGTCCCTTTTTCCAAGGGGCGGTGCTGCCCCCCCTGAAAAATGCCACCCTAGACAAATGCCTTGTTTGCCTTGTGGTAAATACACCCCTGGACACTGTACAGTTGTGAAAATGGTCCCACTTTTTTTAATTCAATGTATTGTGTGATCCGTAAAACACACTTTTCTAGTCTACAATGTGTGCAATTGTTGCATCTAAACATACTATGGTGAAGGACCCCTTTTAAAGTAACTCCCTGGAGTGCCAATCAAAAAAAATCTACTTTTGAAACAGTGGAAGACCATGATCTGAGCATCAGAAACTCAGGGTATATTGAAAACAGCGTTGGTGAACTCTTACCAACTTAGAAAATGTGCACTAGTCTATTCTTTCTAGTCTGCTAACCTGTGCTTTCCTAGAACCCCCCCCCCATACTTGAGTGTGATATTGAGGTCTACTGGTGTGTTTATCCCCTCCAAACCAGAACTTGCAGCACCTGTGCAGTGAGCCCATAGTCATAGACTCAGGGGCGGACTGACCATTTGGAAACTCGGGCACTGCCCGAGGGCCCGGGGTCAGTAGGGAGCCCCATGAGATGCCCCTGGTACCTTTTTCATAGGCTTTTTTGAGTTTGGCCAAGGACACAGGGGCCCCATGATCCCCTATTGCCCGGGGGCCCCATGAGTTGTCAGTGCGCCCCTGCATAGACTTGTATATGGCCATCCTCTGAGACTGGAGATACTCATGTCTGTGAGAATTCACTGAGCAGACGAGCACCACTGAAGATCTTGGCTGCAAGGGGATAAACATGTGGCTGTCATGCTGAATTAAAGGCTATGTTCACCTTTTCCAGGACATAGTCTTTGCAGTCAAGGGGCTCCAACTAATATAGAAAAAAAACCTGGGGAAGTTTTAAAACACTTCAATATATGTATTGTCACACCTGTAGGCCGGTTGGACCCCTTTGGAAGCCTGGCCGAAAAAATTAGCAATCCCCACAACCTGCCTTGTTGATAGGGTGTAAAAGCTATTGTTTTTTGCTCCTGTAATGTTGGAAGTGAGCATCCATCAGTTTTCACATCCTAGCAACAATCCAGGACATGGGGATCGCTAACTGGGCTTTTTTCAGCTGGAGTTCCATAGTGGCCAAATGTCCTTTAGGTATGACAATAAAATGCCAATTTTACAAAGCTGAACAGTTTTTTTTAATATCTACTGGGGTCCATGGACTGCATCGGATATTTTCTAGAAAAGATGTACTTAGCCTCTGAGTAAACAGCTAGGTTCCAGGTTAGTTTGGGATGAGAACTGGGTAGGGTGGACTAATGTACTTTTTGCTAAAACTTAACAGTACCATTCCAATGCTTGCTGGTATGTCTACTGGTGCTGTCATCATAATGTGCTATACACTAGTTTACCTTTTACACCAGTCTTTGCCTGGCCAGCACGTTGCAATTTCAGATAATGATTTGCGTTATTTTAAACATCAGTAAACTTGACTTGAAGCTGAACTCTCTAGTTTAGGCCTCGATATTGCTTTTTTTTCACTCATCAAATTTTACAAGCATTGAGATAAGCATATAGAATAGAAGAGTGTCGTCATTCTGTGCTGGAAACTAGTGTCACACACTCCGTCTACTTCTTCCATACAGGAGGATGGGGGGAGATTTACTAAAACTGGAGCACTCAGAATCTGGTGCAGCTGTGCATGGTAACCAATCAGCTTTTAACTTCAGCTTGTTCAATTAACCACTTCAAGTCTGGATACTTAACCCCGTTCCAGTCCAGGCCAATTTTCAGCTTTCAGCACTCTCACACTTTCAATGACAATTACTCAGGCATACAACACTTTATCCAAACTAATTTTTATCATTCTTTTCACACAAATAGAGCTTTCTTTTGGTGGTATTTAATCACCACTGGGTTTTTTATTTTTTTGCTAAATAAACAAAAAAAGACGTAAATTTTTGAAAAAAAAATTTTTTTCTTAGTTTTTGTTATTACATTTTGCAAATAAATATACTTTCGTCACAAATTTAGGCCAAAATGTTTTTGGTAGTAATAACCCAAATCAGTGTATATTGTTTAGTCTGTGTGAACGTTTTAAAGTCCACAAACCATGATGTATATACCACTGGTATGGTGATCAGGACCCGCTGGTGTGGCGGTGATCAGGACCTGCTGGTGTGGCGGTGATAAGGACCTGCTGGTGTGGCGGTGATCAGGACCTGCTGGTGTGGTGGTGATCATGACCTGCTGGTGTGGCAGTGATCAGGACCCACTGGTGGGGCGGCGATCAGGACCCGCTGGTGTGGCGGTGATCAGGACCCGCTGGTGTGGCGGTGATCAGGACCCGCTGGTGTGGCGGTGATCAGGACCTGCTGGTATGGCGGTGATCAGGACCCACTGGTGTGGCAGTGATCAGGAGCTGCTGGTGTGGTGGTGATCAGGACCCTGTGGTATGGCTGTGATCAGGACTCACTGGTTTGGCAGTGATCAAGACATGGTGGTTTGGTGATCATGACCCAGTGGTGTGGCGGCTTTTCATTTAGATAATTAAAGCTTATCTCATCTGTGGGTTAGTAAATAAACTGAATTGCATGCAATAGTAGGCTGTGTTGGGCCACACTGAGGAGTTTCATGTCATGCTACAAAAATTGCTAGCAATGGAAGTAACATTACACAGGTAACATTTATTAGTAATTATCTTTATATGATCACATAATGCTCCAATCATGTGCAGTTGATTGTCACTCTATCTCTATGGTACTTATGTGGCTTTCCTCATAAGGAGCCAGTTGTTCAATCTGTGCTGTGATCAATTTCTACTCATAGCAATCAATCTCTAATCATTTTAGTTGTGTGTTTGAGGTCCCATGTAACTCTGAGCCCTGGTTCACACTGATGCGGTGTGGAATTTGCAGCGTTTTCTGTGTGAATTCCGTATCGCATCAAAATTGCACCCTGTTCATGCAAACCGCTGCGGGCGTGTATGTTAACAACACCCCGAAAGTGGTCCGCAAAATGCGGTGCGATGTGCAGAATCGTATCGCATAGGTGTGAATACCTATGCGATCCAATTCTAGTGCGGACCAAAAAAAGGGTCCTGCACGCTTTTGGTGTGGATGCAGTGCGATTAGAGCCATACAAAATGTATGGCTCCAATCGCATCGCACACAATTCGCATGTGAATTGCACAGGAATGCGGTGCGGTTCCTGTGCGAATCACATGCGATATATCACAACGCAAATGTTCCATGGCAAAGTACATCCAACAACATGAATTCAGGCAGCCATCTTCCCAGCTGTCAGGTGTTTCCCCAACAGGAGGGCCTGACAGGAAGAGCAATGATAATTGATGGGCCCCCAGTGTCAGGCACTGTCAGACTTTGGAGGCCGTCATCGGGCCACAGGAAAGCAATTGCTTTCGGAGGGCTGATATGCACTGTGCAGTTTGGTCTGTTATACCTTTCATTTATTTTGAAGTCATGGGAATACTCAGTGGATGATGGAAAAAAAATGAGCATGCCCTTTAAGTGTGGTTTGAGGAAGACTATAGGGGAACTTGAGGAGCAGTGTTGACCAATGACCACCACGTGAGGCTGCAGTCTGCATGTATGACTGTGGTGACCAGGTCTGCAAGTAGCTGGGCAAACTTTGCACATGTAAATGTAAAGATGTGTGCCCTTTGTTAATGAATAACACACAGGACACGGCTCTGGCAGAATGCCCCAGCAAGACAGATGAACACAACACAATCAGACAGCTTTTGCCAGTGCGGGTCCTTTACAGGTCAACAGAATGCACCATTGAAGTGCCTGATTGCAGCATGAGAGGCTCAAAAATGTGAGGGGAACCAGTTCAACCTACGACAGTTCTACAAACTGCTCTGCACAGTGAACTGGACAGCATGGGGGTTGATTTACTAAAATTGGAGAGTGCAAAATCTGGTGCAGCTCTGCATAGAAACCAATCAGCTTCCAGGTTTTTGTCAAAGCTTAACTGAAAAAGCTGAAGTTGATTGGCTGATTGGCTACCATGCACAGCCATACCAGATTTTGCACTCTCCAGTTTTAGTAAGGACTTTTTCACATGGATGCTCTAATCGGGTCCGCCTGCCCGTTTTTCAGGCGGACCTGATCAGAACCGCCATTCTTCTCTATGGAGCGGCGGGTGTAAATGGACATTTGTGTCCATTTACACCCGCCGACATCCGATCTGCCAAAAAGGGACGGATGGGGATCCAATTCCCCTTCGGTCCGTCGGGTCGGATGAAAACGGACAGGCGGTTTTATTGGTTCACATGAACACTGACTGTGTTGATGGGAAAATTGAGTGATGGAAAGAAAGTAGATTCATCTATGATTTGCCTTAAAATACAGGAGAAAGCATTGTGAAGTTCTGCAGTGTGAAGGTAGCAGTATCTGTAGCAGACCCGATCAGAACCTCCATGTGTCCATTTACTGTCGACATCCGATCTGCCAAAAAGGGACATGTGGGGATCTAATTCCCCTTCTGTCCATCTGGTCAGATGAAAACGAACAGGCAGTTCGTTTTCATCCGATCTCCTATTGAGGAGAGCGAGCAGCTCTGTGTCTGCTCTGCAGCAGCAGAGCAGACACAGAGCTGTCATCCGCTTGCTCAGTGGGGATCAGCAGAGAGATCCCCCCGCTGATCAAGTGCATCCGCTAAACGGGTCCGCTCTGTGTGAAAGGACCCTTAATCTATGAGTCATGAGTCTTAGAAACAGCTTGGCAAGCTTACCATTGAACTGAGACTTTGTTGCAGAGGAAGATCTTGCACTACTAGGGGGTAATCCATTCATATCTGACTTTGGGCCCTATTGAAAAGCTGAACAGATACTGCTACCTTCACACTGCAGAACTTCACAATGTTTTCTCCTGTATTTTAAGGCAAACCATAGATGAATCTACTTTCTTTCCATCACTCAATTCTCCCATCAACACAGTCAGTGTTGATATGAACCAATAAATTACGTGTTATCCCACGCCTATGTTTTGTGAATTATATCCGAAATGTGTGTAACAACAATTTTGGCCAATTGTTGTTCGGGGAATCCCTCCCACGACGCTACTGTGGGGGGCGTGGGAGCCTTCCTGGCTAGCAGAACACAATGTTTACTGCTAATGGCTATAGCAGCTGGCAGTAATCGCATGCAGAGAAATCCAACAGCCTGGTTATACCCAAGTCAACTGATGGATTGACTTGGGTACAATCAGCCTACAAATACATAGATCAGATCTTGGCTGGTCCTGCCTAGTTTCGATTCATGTGTGACCGACTTAGGAATCTTTCAATAAAAGTAGTGTGTGGTGGAGCCTTCTGACTACCTGACACTTTTGCTTTTCTCTTTGGTCATTAAGCAAAAGCCAAGTGTTGGGTTCAGATCCACAACCCACCTTCTTTCCCCAGTGATCAGGTCCTTTTCAGATGGGCTGTGTCTGGTCTGATTAGCAGGGGGTCCCCGAACAAATCTCCTACTGAAACAAAGCAGAATGGAACGGATGTCACTTTGGCATCATCCATGAACATTTGGTATTTTGCTGCAGGAGCTTTCCGGATCCATATTGGATTCATGGGCATCCACATAAAAACGGACTTGCATCTGTTCACATCAGACAATCTCTGATCCATTATGTTTAGGTCAGAAGAAAACAGGAAAGGATGCAAACCTTTTCCTTTCTTTTGACCTGGATGGACTCAGAGGTGCTTGGATGTAAATGGACACATGTGCGGTAACATCTGCCTGTCTATGGACTTACATAGAGCTTCCAATCAGGTCCACCTGAAAAACTGACAGGTGGACCTGATTGGACCTCACATGTGAAAGGGGCCTAAGTCCCCGATCACACTGGATGACAAATGGCATGCGATTTTCAAATCGCATGCCAAGTGGCACCCTATTGTCAGCAGTTAGAGCGGTCATATTGGTGCAGTTCTGACTTGGTCAGAGCCGCGCCGATTTCTAAAGTAGTACATGCACTACTTTTGGTGCGATTTGCATAGACATCTGTGTCAGATGTCTTGCAAATCGCACCTGAAATCGGCATGTCATCCGACTTTGAAATCATGCAACTTCACTGTAAGTCGCACAATTTCAAAGTCGGGTTTGGTGTGACCGGGGTGTAAGTGATCAAAATATTGCTCTTGTCCTTTAGTAATTATAATTCTGGATATTATTACTTCCAGTTCATCTTAAAACCCACTGTTTGCGGCAAGTTCTCAAGACTTCCTGAGGAATTACAGATGGCTTTCCACATGGGATAAAGCAGCGCTGTGGGACTGGTCGTGCAGCCTTTTGGGATATGTGATGTATCCCAGGAAGCTGAAGGTGTGGATGGAGCATGGGCAGGGGGGGGCGGTCCCAAGCAGATGTCATTCTCACCTAGGCAAGAGTTGAGGAAGTGGGAACTGATACCTGTCAAAACATTTACCCATTCCCCATAAAAAAAAAAGTGTTAGGAAAAACGGAGGATGGGGGGAAGGATTGGTGTCACTTTCATCTTTGAGTGAAGGTCTGTTTTATTTACCCAGGACCAGGATGAGACTAGCATGGCCTATTGTGCCATGCTGGTAAAGAGGGGTAGGGAAGGCATAGCTGGGACATAAGTCTCTTCGGCCTCCTTATTTCCCATCAATCTCTTGAATTGAGCCTGATGACGTCAATCTGACAGCTCAGTCCCGCAGATTACACCTAATTACTTCTAGTGTAAGGCTATTTTCACACTGATCCGTAGCAAAAATGTGGCAAAAACGAATATGCGGTGTGTTTTGTACAGGTCGTAACTGAACAACCACACCAAAAACACAACGTGGCTGCATATTTGATGCGTTTTTTGCTGCATTTTTTATTGATTTCAATGGGGAGGTGTGTTTTTGGTGCGGTATTTATACACCAAACTTGCACAAAAAATGCAACAAGCAGGATTTTAAAAACTGCATCAGACGGATCAGTGTGAAGAGTTCCATAGGAATACATGGTTACACAATTTTCTTCTGCTTTTTTTAATGCAAAAGCAGAAAAAAACAGATCCGTGTGAAAGCAGCCTAATCAGTGGAATTTGCTGCTAGTGTGACAGAGGTGCCAACTCTCTGCCAGGAGCACTGACACCACTCATGATAAACAGAGAGCAGACATTGGTTGTCAGACAGCAGAGCTCCACTGATTAGACAGGGAGAGCTGTCATCTGTAGGTCAGTGTGACAGCTCAGTCCTGCTCTGCATTCATTTATGAATAAAGACCACTAGAATCTACTGGAATCTACTATAACAGCGTTCACTAATAAATGACTGTCAGGGCTCATTTATACCACAGCACAGCAGGTTGAACGAAAAAAATGACCCAATTCCCCCATCCACAAACTTGATGTGGATGGGGGAATCCTCCCGCTGAGAGAAGGTATTCTGACAGTAGGGAGGCTTCCCCTCCATCAAAACAAACTGCTCAGCTCTGTCGGCTATAGCTGGTGGCGCTGATTGTGTGAAAAATATTTTTAAAAATATTTTTGCACGTGTCAAACACAAGTACTGCAAGCCGAATCTGGACCCTCAAACTATTTCATGTGGCCCTCGCACCTCTCCTGCAGCTGTCTTGTCCCCACCCCAACCTTGTCTTAGCAGTTGCAAGCAGAGAGGAGGCAGACCTCTTTCTACAGCTCCTGCGCCTCTCTGTGCAGCTGTGGAGAGGCTCATCTCTGCTTCCCCCATCTCAGTAATCAGCAGCAGAAAGGAGGACAGAACTCCTCCTACAGATCCTGTGCTTCTCCATGCAACCACAGAGGAGCTCACCTCTGCTTCCCCCGTCTCAGCAGTTGGCAGCAGAGAGGAGGAGATACCTCCTCCTACAGATCCTGTGCTTCTGCATGCAACCACAGAGGAGCTCATCTCTGATTCCCCCATTTCAGCAATCGGCAGCAGAGAGGAGGACAGACCTCCTCCTACAGATCCTGTGTTTCTCCATGCAAACACGGAGGAGCTCACCTCTGCTTCCTGCATCTCAGCAGTCGGCAGCAGAGAGGAGGACAGACCTCCTCCTACAGATCCTTTGCTTCTCCATGCATCCACAGAGGAGCTCATCTCTAATTCCCCCATCTCAGCAGTCAGCAGCAGAGAGGAGGACAGACCTCCTCCTACAGATTCTTTGCTTCTCCATGCAACCACAAAGAAGCTCATCTCCGATTCCTCCATTTCAGCAGTTGGCAGCAGAGAGAACAGAACTCCTCCTACAGATCCTTTGCCTCTCCGTGCAGCCACAGCACCCCCTCATCTCCACCTCTCCTGGTCTCAGCATTCAGCAGACTCTGGCAGTGGACTCCAGTCCTCCTCCAGACCCTGCACTTTCTGTTTTCCAGCTTCTTCCCAGTAGCAGTACAAGGTAAGGGGGTGCACTGTGATATAAGGGAGGAGTCTTGACATCTGATGTAATGGGGGGGGTGATCTGGATATCTAGTCTTACAGATACAACTGGCCCTTTGAGGGAAACCATAATGCTGATGTGGCCTGCGATGAAATTGAGCTCCACACCCCTGATCTTCTGCAATGTATATTTTTACTGAGTTGAGTTTACATGAATTTGCGTCCATTCCTGCGTGTTTGCGGTGCGTTTGCACATGTTCATGTGTGTTCTGGTGTGAAAAATGCAGCCGCTCTAATTTTTTTTAGTGCACCTGGAAACGGGCAGACTGACAACTCATGGGGCCCCTGGGCAATAGGGGATCATGGGGCCCCTGTGTCCTTACCCAAACTCAAAAAAGCCTATGAAAAAGGTACCAGGGGCATCTCATGGGGCCCCCTACTGACCCCAGGCCCTTGAGTTTCCAAATTGTCAGTCCTCCCCTGCCTGGAAAGCACTAGGCTCACTGTAATAATAATTTTACATGAACAGTAGAAAGGGTTAATCAGGGCTCATTTACACCAGATGCAGTTTTTAAGCGCAGTACAAACACATCTGCAAGAAAAATGAATGTTTTTGTTAATTTTGTTCAATTGTTTGTGTAATGACACATATACAGTGGGGATCGAAAGTTTGGGCACCCCAGCTAAAAATTTGTATTAATGTGCATAAAGAAGCCAAGGAAAGATGGAAAAATCTCCAAAAGGCATCAAATTACAGATTAGAAATTCTTTTAATATGTCAACAAAAGTTAGATTTTATTTCCATCATTTACACTTTCAAAATAACAGAAAACAAAAAAATGGCGTCTGCAAAAGTTTGGGCACCCTGCAGAATTTATAGCATGCACTGCCCCCTTTGCAAAGCTGAGACCTGCCAGTGTCATGGATTGTTCTCAATCATCGTCTGGGAAGACCAGGTGATGTTAATCTCAAAGGTTTTAAATGCCCAGACTCATCTGACCTTGCCCCAACAATCAGCACCATGGGTTCTTCTAAGCAGTTGTCTAGAAAACTGAAACTGAAAATAGTTGACGCTCACAAAGCTGGAGAAGGCTATAAAAAGATAGCAAAGCATTTTCAGATGTCAATATCCTCTGTTCGGAATGTAATTAAGAAATGGCAGTCATCAGGAACAGTGGAAGTTAAAGTAAGATCTGGAAGACCAAGAAAAAAATCAGACAGAACAGCTCGCAGCATTGTGAGAAAAACAATTCAAAACCCACGTTTGACTGCACGATCCCTCCAGAAAGATCTGGCAGACACTGGAGTTGTGGTACACTATTCCACTATAAAGAGATACTTGTACAAATATGGTCTTCATGGAAGAGTCATCAGAAGAAAACCTCTTCTACGTCCTCACCACCACAAAAATCATCGTTTGAACTTTGCAAATGAACATATAGACAAGCCTGATGCATTTTGAAACAAGTTCTGTGGACCGATGAGGTTAAAATTGAACCTTTTGGCCGGAATGAGCAAAGGTACGTTTAGAGAAGAAGGGGCACAGAATTTAATGAAAGGAACCTCTGTCCAACTGTTAAGCATGGGGTTGGATCAATCATGCTTTGGGGTTGTGTTGCAGCCAGTGGCACAGGGAACATCTCACGAGTAAAAGGAAAAACGGATTCAATAAAATTTCAGCAAATTTTGGATGGTAACTTGATGCCATCTGTGAAAAAGCTGAAGTTAAAGAGAGGATGGCTTCTACAAATGGATAATGATCCTAAACACACCACGAAATCCACGGGGGATTACATCAAGAGGTGTAAACTGAAGGTTTTGCCATGGCCTTCACAATCTCCTGACCTCAACATAATTGAAAATCTATGGATAGACCTTAAAAGAGCAGTGCATGACAGACAGCCCAGAAATCTCAAAGAACTGGAAGACTTTTGTAAGGAAGAATGGGCAAAGATACCTCAAACAAGAATTGAAAGACTCTTGGCTGGCTACAAAAAGCGTTTACAAGCTGTGATACTTGCCAAAGGGGGCAGTACAAGATATTAACTCTGCAGGGTGCCCAAACTTTTGCAGACGCCATTTTTTTGTTTTCTGTTATTTTGAAAGTGTAAATGATGGAAATAAAATCTAACTTTTGTTGACGTATTATAAGAATGTCTAATCTGTAATTTGATGCCTTTTGGAGATTTTTCCATCTTTCCTTGGCTTCTTTATGCACATTAATACAAATTTTTAGCTGGGGTGCCAAAACTTTCGATCCCCACTGTATAAAATAAAGAAACAATAAGTTTTTTTTTTGTTTGTTTCAAACTCTTTTTGCCTTCTCTGTATTCGGGACATGATTTAGCAGGGACAATAGATGGGAGAGATAGCAGACTGTAGTGAGCTCTGTACATCTCTAGTATTGGTGATCCCTGGTCCCGACCCAGCCCTGTCCTCTGTCCCAGCTCTAGGGGGCGCACTTTGCCATGCTCCCATTGGCTGTCATGGGATCTTCTCCTGGCCATTATGGAAGTCTCACTCTGCCGGCAGAATTCTCCATTTATTTTTACTTTTTTCTATTGGTTGAACTAAATGGACTGTTGTTTTTCATCTGTTGATGTAAGAATGCAGCAGGAAGAGTGAGAGTTCCTTCCTTGGCCATGGTCTGCAGATGACAGTGTTAGTGATTCTGCCTGGACTGAACACCCCAATCAGGACATAGTGGTGTATACCAGGGGTCTCCAAACTTTCTAAAGAAAGGGTCAGTTTATTGTCCTTCAGTCTTGTGAGTAGAAAAGGCAAACAATGCCCCACCATTGGTATCAGTGGAGGAATAGTGCCCAATTATTGGTATCAGTGGGAGGAATAGTGCCCCATCATTGGTGTCAGTGGGGAGGAATAGTGCCCCATCATTAGTGTCAGTGGGAGGAATAGTGCCCAATTATTGGTATCAGTGGGAGGAATAGTGCCCCATCATTGGTATTAGTGGGAGGAATAGTGCCCGATCATTGGCGTCAGTGGGAGGAATAGTGCCCGATCATTGGCGTCAGTGGGAGGAATAGTGCCCGATCATTGGCGTCAGTGGGAGGAATAGTGCCCGATCATTGGCGTCAGTGGGAGGAATAGTGCCCGATCATTGGCGTCAGTGGGAGGAATAGTGCCCGATCATTGGCGTCAGTGGGAGGAATAGTGCCCGATCATTGGCGTCAGTGGGAGGAATAGTGCCCCGTCATTGGTATTAGTGGAAGGAATAGTTCCCCATCCTTTGGATCAGTGGAAGGAATAGTGCCCCATCGTTGGTGTCAGTTGGAGGTATAGTGCCCCATCGTTGGTATTAGTGGGAGGAATAGTGCCCCATCATTGGTATTAGTTATTATTTATTTATTTATTTATCGAGTTTATATAGCGCCAAAGGGTTTGCTCAGCGCTGTACAATAGAGGGGGGACAATACATGAAACAGTACAGTAACATCAAACAGCACACAAGGGGTAAGAGGGCCCTACTCTTTCGAGCTTACAATCTAGGTGGGAGGGGGTAGAGGTACAGGAGGAAATGGCTGTGGGGGATGGAGTGGAAGGAGGAGGGAAGGGCAGCGGCTGTTAGGTGAGGGTGGGGTAGGCTTCCCTGAAGAGGTGGGTTTTCAGGGAGCGCCTGAAGGTGAGGAGGGAAGGTGACAGTCTGATGGGTTGGGGTAGTGAGTTCCAGAGGATGGGGGAGGACCTGGAGAAGTCTTGCAGTCGTGCGTGGGAGGAGGAGACCAGGGAGCAAGATAGAAGGAGGTCCTGTGAAGAGCGAAGGGTACGGGTAGGGTGGTACCTGGGAATCAGGTCGGTGAGGTAGTTAGGGGCAGTGTTTGTGAATGGCTTTATAGGTCATTAGTGGGAGGAATAGTGCCCCATCGTTGGTGTCAGTTGGAGGAATAGTGCCCCATCGTTGGTATTAGTGGGAGGAATAGTGCCCCATCGTTGGTATTAGTGGGAGGAATAGTGCCCCATCATTGGTATCAGTGAGAGGAATAGTGCCCCATCATTGGTATTAGTGGGAGGAATAGTGCCCCATCGTTGGTGTCAGTTGGAGGAATAGTGCCCCATCGTTGGTATTAGTGGGAGGAATAGTGCCCCATCGTTGGTATTAGTGGGAGGAATAGTGCCCGATCATTGGCGTCAGTGGGAGGAATAGTGCCCGATCATTGGCGTCAGTGGGAGGAATAGTGCCCGAACATTGGCGTCAGTGGGAGGAATAGTGCCCGATCATTGGTGTCAGTGGGAGGAATAGTGCCCCCGTCATTGGTATTAGTGGAAGGAATAGTTCCCCATCCTTTGGATCAGTGGAAGGATAGTGCCCCATCGTTGGTGTCAGTGGAGGAATAGTGCCCCATCGTGGGGGAATAGTGCCCCATCATTGGTATTAGTGGGAGGAATAGCCCCATCGTTGGTGTCAGTTGTGGAGGAATAGTGCCCCATCGTTGGTATTAGTGGGAGGAATAGTGCCCCATCGTTGGTATTAGTGGGAGGAATAGTGCCCCATCATTGGTATCAGTGAGAGGAATAGTGCCCCATCATTGGTATCAGTGGGAGGAATAGTGCCCCATCGTTGGTGTCAGTTGGAGGAATAGTGCCCCATTGGTATTAGTGGGAGGAATAGTGCCCCATCGTTGGTATTAGTGGGAGGAATAGTGCCCTCTTGTTGGTATCAGTGGAAGGAATAGTGCCCCATCGTTGGATCAGTGGAAGGAATAGTGCCCGCTTGTTGGTATCAGTGGAAGGAATAGTGCCCCATCACTGGGATCAGTGGAAGGAATAGTGCCCCCTCGTTGGTATCAGTGGGAGAAATAGTGCCCCATCATTGGTGTCAGTGGGAGGAATAGTGCCCCATCATTGGTGTCAGTGGGAGGAATAGGGCCCGATCATTGGTGTCAGTGGGAGGAATAGTGCCCGATCATTGGTTTCAGTGGGAGGAATAGTGCCCCATCGTTGGGATCAGTGGAAGGAATAGTGCCCCATTGTTGGTATCAGTGGAAGGAATAGTGCCCCCTTGTTGGTGTCAGTGGAAGGAATAGTGCCCCATCGTTGGGATCAGTGGAAGGAATAGTGCCCGCATTGTTGGTATCAGTGGGAGGAATAGTGCCCCATCACTGGGATCAGTGGAAGGAATAGTGCCCCCTCGTTGGGATCAGTGGGGAAATAGTGCGCAAGCATTGGTATCAGTGGGTGGAATGCTTCATCGTTTGTGTCAGTAGGAGGAATAGTGCCCCATCGTTGGTGTCAGTGGGAGGAATAGTGCCCCATCGTTGGTGTCAGTAGGAGGAATAGTGCCCCATCGTTGGTGTCAGTGGGAGGAATAGTGCCCCATCGTTGGTGTCAGTAGGAGGAATAGCGCCCAAGGGCCAGATAAAGGCAAGGAAGGGGCCACATCTGTCCCCCGGGCCGCACTTTGGAGACCGCTGGTGTATACTGTAGTAGTAGGATGCTGCAGGGCTTCTGGAATCCAGATCGGATGGTGAGACGCTCCCGC